TCGTCTTCGCCTTCGCCTCCTACTCCTCCTCCTCATCCTACTCTTTATCCTCCTCGCTCCACCTCCTCCTCTTCCTCCTTCTCCTCCTCCTTCTCCTCCTCCTCCTCATCATCATCAGCATCCTCCTGCTCCTCCGCTTCTTCTTCCTCCTCCTCCTCCTTCTCCTCCTCCTCCCACTCCTCCTGATCATCCCGCTCCGCCTCCTCCTCCTCCTCATCCTCCGCTCCATCATCATCATCATCATCATCATCATCATCATCATCATCATCATCATCATCATCATCATCATCAGCATCATCATCATCATCATCATCAGCAGCATCATCATCATCATCATCATCATCGTCATCATCATCGTCATCATCATCATCATCATCATCATCAGCATCATCATCATCATCAGCATCACCATCCTCGCTCCGCTTGCTCCGTCGCCTCGCCGTCGTCCTTCTCCTCCTCATCCTCCTCATCGTCATCCGCTTCCTCCCGCCCATCATGCTCCTCCATCCCATCATCATCAGCATCAGCATCATCAGCATCATCATCACCAGCATCATCATCACCATCATCACCATCATCATGACCACCATCATCATCATCATCATCGTCATCATCATCATCATCAGCAGCAGCATCATCGTCATCAGCATCAGCATCGTCATTATCATCATCAGCATCATCCTCTTCATCATCGTCAGACGCATCATCATCACCATAATCAGCATCATCATAAGCATCAGCAGCATCAGCATGAGCATCCGCAGACGCATCATCGACATCACCATCATCAGCATCGTCATCAGCAGCATCATCAGTATCATCATCGTCAGCAGCAGCAGCATCACCATCAGCATCATCATCATCAGCATCGTCATCTTCATCATCAACACCAGCATCATCAACATCAACATCGTCATCAGCAGCATCATAATCCTCATCATCAGCATCATCATCATAATCAGTAGCACCATCATCCTCAGCATCAGCATCATCAACAGCATCGGCACCATCATCATCAGCATCAACATCATCATCATCATCAACATCATGATCGTCGTCATCGTCAGCGCCATCATCATCAGCATCAGCATTATCATCATGCTTCGTCTCGTCCTCCTCGTCCTCCTCCAACTCATCCTGCGCCTGTTCCTGCTCCTTCTCCTCCTCCTCCTGCTTCTGCCGCTCCTCAACCTCCTGCTCCTCCTCAGACTCCTCCTCCTCCACCTCCTCCTCCTCCTCCTCGCAATCCTCCGCCCCCCTCAGCCTCCGACTCCTCCTCCTTCTCCCCCTCCTCCTCCTCCTCCTTCTCCTCCTCCTCCTCCTCCTCCTGCTTCTGCTCCTCCTCGTGCGCCTCCTCGTCCTCATCCTGCTCCTCATCGTCCTCCACCTCCTCCTGCCCCTGCTGCTCCTCCTCCCCCTCTTCCTCCTCCTCGTCCTCCTACCCCTCCTAATCATCATCATCAGCATCATCAGCATCATCATCATCATCATCATCATCATCATCATCATCATCATCATCATCATCATCATCATCAGCATCATCATCATCATCAGCAGCATCATCAGCATCATCATCATCATCATCATCATCAGCATCATCATCATCATCATCAGCATCATCGTCATCAACATCGTCATCAGCATCATCATCATCGGAAGCAGCATCGTCATCTGCATCATCAGCATCATCAACATCAGCATCATCATCGCCATCATCAGCATCACCACCATCAGCATCATTATCATCATCATCATCATCAGCATAATCATCATCATCATCGGAAGCATCAGCATCATCAGCATTATCAACAGCATGATCATCATATTCAACATCAGCATCAGCATCAGCATCAGCATCATCAGCATCATCATCATCATCATCATCATCAGCATCATCACCATCATCCTGCTCCTTCTCGTCCTCGTCCTCCTCCTCCTCCTCCTGCTCCTCTTCCTCCTCCTCCTGCTCATCCTACTCCTCCTCCTACTTCTCCTCATCCCCCTCCTCCTCCTACTCCTGCTCCCTCAATCTCCTCCTCCTCCTCCTCCTCCTCCTCGTCCGCCACCTCCTCATCCTCCTTCGCCTCCTCTGTCTCCTACTCCTCGCTCCTCCTGCTCCTCCCTCCTCCTCCTGCTCCTCCTCCTCCACGTCGCTCCGCCTCCTCCTCCGCCTCCTCCTTCTCCTTCTCCTCCTCTTCCTCTTGCTCCCACTCCTCCTCCTCCTCCTCCTCATCATCATCATCCTCCTCCTGCTCCCACTCCTCCTGCTCCTTCTGCTCCTCCTCCTCCTCCTCCCCCTTTTCGCTCCTCCTCCTCCTCCTCATCTCCCTCCCCTCCTTCTCCACGTCGTCCTTCTCCTCCTCCTCGTCCTGCTCCCTTTCCTCCTCATCCTCCTCCTCCTCCTCCTCCTCGTCCGCCACCTCCTCATCCTCCTTCGCCTCCTCTGTCTCCTACTCCTCGCTCCTCCTGCTCCTCCCTCCTCCTCCTGCTCCTCCTCCTCCACATCGCTCCGCCTCCTCCTCCGCCTCCTCCTCCTCCTTCTCCTCCTCTTCCTCTTGCTCCCACTCCTCCTCCTCCTCCTCCTCCTCCTCATCATCATCCTCCTCCTGCTCCCACTCCTCCTGCTCCTTCTGCTCCTCCTCCTCCTCCTCTCCCCTTTTCGCTCCTCCTCCTCCTCCTCCTCCTCATCTCCCTCCCCTCCTTCTCCACGTCGTCCTTCTCCTCCTCCTCGTCCTGCTCCCTTTCCTCCTCATCCTCCTCCTCCTCCTCCTCCTCCTCGTCCTCCTACTCCTCTTCCTCTTCCTCCGTCTGTGCGGTCGTTAAGATGTCGTGGAATACGCCTCTTAGGCTCTTGGTGGCCTCGTTGGGGTTTCTTGGACGCCTCTTTGGGCCGATGGCTCGAAAAATCCGTTCGGATACCCCGCATGGGCCCCCTCCTGGAGCCGTCGTGGGGGCCTCTTGGGCCTTCTTGGGGGCGTCTTGTGCCGTCTTCGGGCGATCCTTGGGGCCTATTGAGAGGGAGCGCCGGGAAGCCGAAACGGAGAGAACCCCAAACGCCTTCAAATACCTTTGGTAAACGAATTTCTTGTCTCTCTTCGGGCCCTCTTGGGAGACTTCTTTGAGGCCTCTTGAGGCGTCTCGGAGGCCTCTTGTGCCGTCTTGAAGGCCTCTTAGGGCCGTCGCCGAGGCATTCTCGGCGAAGCTGGAAGCCTCGTGACCCCTCTGCACCCGTCGTGGAGGCTACCTTGGACCGTCTTGGGCTCTCCTGTGGTACCCGGAGGCCTCCCGGGAGGAACACTCGTGCCAGCACACGTCGTTCATTTCTAATCGTGCTCATTTCTGATTGAGCTCGTTTCTAAGTGTTCCTGGCCCCCTAGTGGCCAGGAAGAGGCCCAAGATAGAACAATTAGAAATGAAAGGATCCTGGCCCTCCCACAAAACCAAAGAACTGTCGAAGAATTCGAAATGGACAATGTGTAGACCTGGGGCTCCGCCTGCCGTCCCCGTCGGGCCCCCATCCAGCTCAATTCCTCCCGACCACCGGATCGCACGCTACGCGCGCTGCCCGACATCCGCACCCCCTGTCGATGTATTACAAGGGTACCTGGCGTGCTACATCCTGCGGCTTGGTTCCGGTTATTTTCCTCCTCCTCCTCCTCCTCCTTCTTCTGCACCTCTTCCTCATCCTCCTTCTCATCCTCCTCCTCCTCCTCATCCTCCTCCTCCTCCTCTTTCTCCTCCTCCTCCTCCTCCTCTTCCTCCTCCTCCTCCTCCTCCTCCTCCTCCTCCTCCTCTTATCATGCGGGTGCCTGGCGTGCCAAATCCTCGCGGCTTGGTTCCGCTTCTTTTCCAAAAGAATTCCCCCTAGGGCTTCGGCCCATGCCGCCGGCCACCCGGCAGGCCCAGACGCTGCGCAATCAACGTCTCCGAGACGGCCTCGATGGCCTCCAAGACGGCCACGATGGCCTCCAAATTCGCCCACGATGGTCCAAGATGGCCTTCAAGACGGCCCAAGAGGGTCCCAGATACCTCCAAGGCAGCCCAAGAAGCGACCCACACTGCCCACGGTGGCTGCAAGAGCCCCCAAGAGGCCTCCAAGACGGCCCAAACAGCCTCAAGGAGGGCCCGAAGAGGCCAAACTCGTTGGGCTTCTTCAGATGCTTGACAGATGTTGGTAATTGCTTCTTTTCGGCCTTCCGACGGCCTTCCGACGGCCCGAGAACACCCCAAGATCGCCTCATTGTCGCCCAAGACGCCTTGCAGATGCCACCAGGACGGCACAAGCGGCCCCCAAGACGGCCCAAGAGGTGTTCAAGACGCCCCCGAGATGGCCTCCAAGACGGCCGTGAAGCACCCAAAAGGGCCCCAAGTCGGTTCAGGGAGGCTCCCAAGATGGCTTCCGACTGCGTCAGACGGGCCAGGAACGCGCCGAGACGGCCAAACAGGCCCCAAAGAAGCCCCAAAACGCCCCCAAGAGGCCCAAGGATGCCCCCAAGATGACTCCAAGAGGCCCCTAGGAAGCTCCCAGGAGGCGCCAAGAGTGTCCTCAGAGGCTCCCAAGATACCCCCTCCTCCTCCTCCTCCTCCTCCTCCTCCTCCTCCTCCTCCTCCTCCTCATCTTCCTGATCTTCCCCGCCATCCTCCCCCAGGTGTTCCCCGAAGGGTTTCCACAAAGGCTGAGGGAAAACATGGTCCGTTAGCTTGGCCGAGCTCTAGCCACAACGTTTGGCCACGGGGGTGTTCCAAAAGGCAGGGGGCGGCGTTGATTCGCAGTAGGCGCTTCGACATCATAAACCAATGCTGCTTTCGCGCGATGATCCATGCTTCTGTTGGACTGCGCCCGCGCACATTGGCCTTTCTCAAATCCTTCCTGCAACAGTCGGCCTCCACAACAACCCCCCTGCTCGGGCTGACCCCTCCCGAATGGTGCATCCCCTGTCCCGATTGGAGCTTCCAGAAACTCATTCCTTCCCACAATCCCCCTAACAGAGCATCAACGCCTTGCTCAACTCCTCAGCCTGGGCACCAGCAGTGCTTGCGCATGCCCTCTGCAGCTGCGCGTGCTCCTCACGCAGCTTGCTGAGCTCCTCCACCGCGCGGGCTTGGTCACGACAAATGGCGGATTTCGAAGCCCTGCACCCGAGAATGTTCTCATCTCTTGGGGATACATCTTTACTGCCGCCGGCCTCCGCCGCCCTTCCGCCGGCTTCCGCCGTCGGAGGCGGCCTTACTTCCGCCGACCTTCCGCCGCCTTCCGCCGAGGAAGAGATGACAACCCCTTCGATCCTGGAAGGCAGGGCCCTTTCTGGAAACCCATCGGCGACTTCCCTTGGGAACTGGGATGCAGGACGCAGGGCAGGACAAAAAATCCCCGCCTTCCGCCCAGAACCCCGCGCTCGCAAGCTCCTGCACCGTCGCACGGGCGGCGCGCGGTGCCTGCCGGGCCTCCGCGAATAGGATTCCATGGCTGACTGCCTACCAGACCACTCCAAGCTGACCCGAAGACCCCAAGTTTGAGCTGCGGAGGGTACGGGTTTCAACCTGTGTTTTTTCAGTGTTCCCCGGCGCCCCCTCCCACCGGGAATGAAGGGCAAATTGGGGCCTTCTTCGGGTTGGGTTGGGGTGGTTTGGTGGGTGCTGGATGGCTGATACTGGGAGACGGGGTCGGGAGGGCAGTGCTGCAGCGTCCTCTCGTGCTGCGGGTCAGCACGGCAAGGCCAGCGCTAAGAATGGCACCGAGGGAGGAAGACTCATCCAGGAGACGAGGACGAGGAATGTACAGTGCATGCCTGCCGTGGCCACGTCGGCTCCTTGCTTCCGACGCCACGCAGACCGTTCCGCCTCGATCGCCCTCCGTTCTCGGAGCTTCCCCGAGGCTCTCGGCCGCTTGCGCGCAGGGACGTTCGCGCCGCAGGCCGCTTGGAGGCCAGGGATTGGGGGGGCAGCACAGCGAGGGTCGGCGGCGAGCGAGGGCCTTCTACGCGTGGACACTTCTCATAAGGCGGGAAAATTCTGAGAAGCCCCGCCGCCTTCTGAGGGGGCCTGCTCCTTCTCACTTCCCCCCGCGCTGGCCGCCGACATCAGGTCTCAAAAGATCTCCAGCGCTGGTGCTGAATTTCACCTCCCTGGTTGTGTTGCCGGAGGTCTCAAACGGTCTCCAGTGCGTCCCTATCCTGAGGCGAATCCTTGAAGCTTGAACGATGAATAAGGTCAGCTCTTGCACCCTGTCGGCGTGTGGAAGATGATTTTCCGTTCGTCGTGAACGTCGTCGTCGTCGTCGTCGTCGTCGTCGTCGTCGCCGTCGTCGTCGTCGTCGTCGTCGTCGCCGTCGTCGTCGTCGTCGTCGTCGTCGTCGTCGAAGCTCTTCCGTTCGTCGTCGTCGTCGTCGTCGTCGTCGTCGTCGTCGTCGTCGCCCTCCCCTCAGGCGCGCCAGCCAAAGCGAAACCAAAGCGAAATCGAGCAACGTCGGAGCTGAGTCGAAGGCAAAGCGAAATTGAGCAACGTCGTAGCTGAGCCGAAGGGAAGCCCCTTCCCTTTGATCCCTTCCCCGCCGGGGGGGGGGGGTCCCGGGGGGGGTCCCGGGGGGGGGGGGGGGGGCAGATACGCATCCCCCCCGGGATGTCCCGGGACCTAGAAAAGCCCCCAGACTGGCCAAGAGTGCCCCAAGAGGCTTCCAAGACGGCTCCAGAGGGCCCCGAATCGCCGAACCATCGGTCGAAGACGCCAAAGTAGCCTCCAGACGGCCCAAGAGATTGCCAAGACGCTCCAAGAAGTCTCCAAGAGCACTCCCAAGAGGGCACGAAGAGGGAAAAATCAATGATTTCCTTAAAGTTTTTGACAGATTTTGGCGTTCTCGCCGTTTCAACTTGCCGACGCTCCAAGACGGCCCCAGATGCCCCCAAGATTGCCCCAAGATAGCCCAAGAGGCTTCAAGAGAGCCCCAAAATGACCCAAGAGAGCCTCAAGACCGCCCAAGATGCCTCCAAGATGGCCCCAGAGGCTCCCCAAACGCTCCAACAGGGTGCCCAGACGGGGGGCCCGACGAGCCCTCGGCGACAGAGGCTCCCAGGAAGCCCCAAGATGCCCCCAAGAGGCCACCACGAGACCCCCAAGAGGCCCCCAGGAAGCCCCAAGAGGCCCCCCCCGCCACATTAGAGAACGCATGGGTCGCCCTCCAAGGTCGGCGGCACCGGCCGTAAGGCCTTCGCAATAAGGTCAGCTCTTGCATTTTATTCGAGATAAAGCCCGTTGATGGCCCCGCCGTGTCCCCTCCCCCCCCCGCCTGGTGACCTGATGCCTGGTCACGTCACAGTTCGCGCCGGCGACGTCTGGGAATGAGCCATTCCTAAGCATCCCCAGGCGGCGCCAGCGCCACACTGGCCTGAAGGCCCACAAGATTGCAACACGAGAAGAGGGAGGCCCCCAAGAGGGGCCCAAGAGGGCTTTCACAGAGAGCCCAAGAGAGCCCAAGAGGAGCCCAACAGGGGCCCAGGAGAGGAGGAGCTCGATCGTGAGCTCGGGGCCATCCACCGGAAGATTGCCCCCGCGTCCGCCCCCGAGCCCACAAGTCACGAGAGGCCCTCCGAGAGGTACCGAGGCCCCGGAGAGGTCCCCGGAAGGCACCCGGCGAGCCTCCACGAGGCCCCGCTTCGAGATGGGGCCCCGAAGGAGGCCGTCCAAGAGAACCCGAGAGGCCTGGAGGAAATCTCGCCCACCACACGGGCACGGCGGCGGGAGGGGTCCACGGCCACTGAAAACCGAGTGGAGCCATCTGTAGGCTGCCAGACTTCGCGCCCTCGCGCCCCGCGAGGCGCGGCTGGCCTCGCGCCCTCGCGCCGCCGCCCTGGAGAAGGTCGCCTCTCCAAGCCGGGCCGCGGTGCGCGAAGCGCAGTTGTGTCTCTAGAGGTCACGGTGGCGTTGCTGACGATTTTTTGCCCCTGGACTGCGCCCCTCATATTCCGTAGACGGTCCTGCAGCTCTCCCGCGTGACCGCCATCACGGTGGCGAGCGGCACGCCCTTCAGCTGAGCAATGCGTTCGGCCACCCTGTGCACGTGCCCAGGGTGAGCGGTCTGGCCCCGGAAGGGCTCTGGACACATGTAGGGGCCATCCGTCTCGATCAGCAACCGCGACAATGGCAAGCCTTGCACCAGCGCGGCGAAATGCTCCGGCCGATCTCTGCTTTTCCCTCTGCCTTTGGAGCCTCTCCCCTTGCTTTTCCCTTTGTCCTCCAGCGCAAAGGTAATGCATCCAGTAAAACCGATGCGAAGGTTCTCCCACACGTCGCACAGCTGAAGAGCATGCTCCAAAGAGTCGCTGTAGCAGTGCACGTGGATGGGGTGATCTGGGGGCACAGTCTCGCTCAAGACCTGGAAGCACAACTGCTCGGCCTGCCGAGCGTGCACGACCAGTGCCTTGCCAGTCTCCACTGCAAGAGAGGCCTGCGCACGGAATGCACGCAGTTGGAGGTCGGCTTCGTTGCCTTTGTGATCGAAGCTGAAATCGAGTCCACACTCTCCAATGCCAACGCACCTCGGATGACTCAAAAGTGAGCACATATGCCGCTCAGCATCGCTTCCCCATCTGTCCGCATCGCTCGGGTGAATGCCTATCGTGAACCAAATCTTGCTTCCAAGCAGGGTGCCCGGCTGTAAGACTGGGAGAGTCTCGGTGAGCCATTCCCACTCCGACATGCGGCCCCACGATTCACTGAGACGCTGGAACGCAATGTTGCAAATGCACGCCTCGAGGCCAGGTGGCCACGACTCCACGAGAGCGAGAAGATCCATGGGTTCCTCGTTGTCCATGACCCGAGGCCTCTTGCCTCCTGGCCACGTGCGGTACAATATGCTCTCCAGGTGGCAGTGGGTATCTATCCAACGAGACTCTGGAGGCAGCATGCTTTGCACGCGTGCAAGGTCTGCAACATAGCGCCTCGTGTAAGCCTCACGGGCACCAGCTGCATAAGACGGGACTGCGAAGGCCGCGACGGCGCGTCCATGACCGCGTGACAGCTGATGCTCCGGATTTGGCGGCGGTGGGCTCGCTTGCGCGGCCGCATCTTGGAGCCTATTGCCAAGGCTGGTGTGGCTGCCGAAGAAACGTCGTCGCATAAGCCAAACGGCCCTGAGCAGTTCAGGTGTCCTGATTAATCCATCTCTGGCACGCTTCGAAAGCAACGCTATGCAAAGACACAACAATTTGGGCCATCGCCAAAGCTTCGGGAACAACTCTAGCCAGCCTGACTTGGGCTGGCTTCTCGCAGGAATCATCCAGACATAACAATGATCAACATCATGACCCTTGAGCTGAAATTGCTACGCACTGTGATGATGATGGTGAGGCTGCTGACGATGATAGTCGCGCCGCTTTGACAGAACAATGCGGCAGAGACAAACACATTATCTTCGGGTCAACAGTTGCCATGGCAGACACGAAGCAAACACGGCAGCGCAACAACGGCTAGGGTGGTGCAACTTACGGTTTAGCTCGGATGCTTTACGTCATGCGGTCAGACATGCTAGACAATCCAATCACGCGCAGTAAAAGCAACCATTGTCAAGGTCAACGGAGTGTCCAATAAGCTTCGCCGCCTTGAACACTTAAAGCACGCTGCATGATCACCAAGACAATCAAAGGGCGCGCATACTGGTTCAGAACGCACGCCACGTAACAATGCGTGGGGAACGTGACAAAACGATTCGAACCTCATTGCGAACTTACTCTTAGCACCTACATGTTCAACGTGTACATCGGCAGACACACGGCGGGGATGACTGAACACACTGCGCGCGCAAATCCGAGCTCCGAACCAGTCGCAATCTTCCATGATAAAGCTTGGAAGGCCGAATACGCGCGCAAGAATGAGTGTTCTACGTCGGAAGACATTGGGGACGCGGAAGCGGGAGACACGAACATTTGCAGTCCCTCCGTGGCCTCGAAGTGGCCGAAATTGAAAATGTTCCCCCTGAGTCAATCCACTACATGCAAATATAGTAGAACTTGGCCGACGTTTCAGCTACGGCGCGCATGGGGGCGGGGGAGAGAAGGTTGGACCAAGAGGAGGCAAGAGGACGACGAGGGAGGAACCTGTGGACGAGCGACCCAGCCACACCCGGCCACACGCGAAGGCGAAGGGACGGACAAAAGAGACCGGCCCAAGGGAAACAAGAAGAATCTGCTGCCTCTCGTGGGGCACATTCCGAATCGCAGGCCTTTTCCACCAGCCTGCCGACGAGGGAGAGAAGTGCGCCGAAGGCGAAGCCCTGTCTGGAGAGCCCCAGTCTCAGACATCCGACGTCGTACTTATTTTTGCTGTTCGCAGCGCGCCTGCTCAGAGGTCAGGGCCCGTCTCCTGGGGACGGGTTTCCCTCATATCCCGAGCTACGTGCGGACGGCCAGGTGGCCCGGACAGGGCCCCCCGAGGCCGAAGAGGACCAGAGCCCTCGTGTCGCGATGCGTTGCAGGGAGGTCAGGGATCGGGGTGCAGCGCAGCGAGGGTGGGCGGCGAGCGGCGCGCCACCTCAGAGGGCTCGGGGGTCCTCCAGCCTGCTGAGAAGTTTCCCTGGCCCTCCCTGAAGACTCCTTAAGAAAGCTCGCAGCTGCCCCACTCGGCTACACGCAAGAGTGACCCTGGGTAAGAGTGACCTTTCGTGCGCGGCTTTTTGGAGACCATACCTGGGCGCGCAAGGCATCTGAGAACCCATCTATGCCCGTACCAAAGGTCACTCTGGCGAAAGGTCACTCTTGCGTCTAGTCGACCCACAGAGGCTCCCCTGAGGCCTCCAACGACATCCCGACGAGCCATCAAGAGGCCTCTTATCCACAACCCGGGCACGGTGGCGGGATGAACTGAAAGCCAGTCAGCTAGGGCCACCAAGCACATGCCCCGCCATTTGGCGCTCCCGCGGGCTCCCACGAATCGGCTTCGGAAGCGCCATTCAACCTCCTCTTCCCACATGTTTTCCCTCCTTTCCTTCCCTCCCTCCGTCCCCTTCTCCTCCTGACTGCCCTTTCCATTTTCCATGATCCGTTCCTGCCGGCTCCCACGTCGCCTTTCAAATCACCCTTTCTCCTCCTATTCCCCCACGTCGCCCCTCTTTTCCCGTTTTCCCCACTCTTCCTCCTCACTACAACTTTCCTTTTCCTCTTCACATTATCGTCATCGATGTTCGCGTTCTGACAACTCCCACACAGGCAGTCCCACGCCATCACCTGCACGACTTGCACTTCAGTTTGTATTGTGCGTGAGCACTCGCGAAGTTCGCCCCCCCCCCCCCCCGCATCGCTGCAAGATCGTTCCAAGACGCCCAAGACGGTCCACAGAGACCCCCAGTCGCTGCAAGATCGTCCCAAGACGCCCAAGACGGCGGGCGGCCTCCAGGCAGCCCCAGATGCCCCCAAGACAACCCGACACCCACCCGCTCGCTTTCGTCTACATCACCTCACACTGGATGCCCCCCCAAACCATGAGAAACAATCTACCCTCATGGGGGTTGGCGAATTTGGCGTAAGCCAATGCCTCAGGCAGGTCGCGCAGCGGAACGGAAGCCCTAATGCAACGCAACGTATCCCCCATGTATCCAATGATTGTATACTTGCCACATATCGTATTGCGTTGCACTGTTCTGTCTCCCCCCTTAACCGCCTCCCAAGGGACACGCCCCATCCGTCGACCAAACGTGGTGACCCCCATCTGGGCCCAAAAACCTACAACAACCGATGGAACATATATGATTTGGGCCTCTTGGGACTCATGGGGGTCCAAGAGTGCGTCAAGACGGCTCAACATGGCCTCAAGACGAGTCAAGACGGCCCGACGACGGCCCAAGGCGGCCCCAAGAGGGCCCAACAAAAAATCCAAGACGTCCCCAGAGGGCCCCAAGAGGACCCCCCAAAGCGCCTCCAGAAGCGAAGCACATAGATTCCCCGATGGTTCTTCAACGATCTTAGCGTTCTCGCCACGCCCGTCTCTCAGAGGCCCCTGACGGCCCAAGCAGCCTCCAAGATGGCCCCAAGACGGCCCAAGGAACCCCGAGAAGGCCCCAATGCGGAACAAACGGGCCCCAAAGACGGCCCAAAGAGGCCCCCGAGACTGTCCAAGAGGTCCCCAAGACGGCTCCAGAGGACCCCAGGGAGGCCCCTAGGCGGCCGCGAGAGGCCCAAAGGACGGCCTCCGAAGGGGCCGCACGGCGCAAGAGCGCCCCCAGACGCCCCAAGACGCCCCCCAACAGGCCGCGAGAGGCCCCAAACGAGCCCCTGGGAGGCCCCACACACGGTCTGGAGAGGCTCCTGTGGTCCAAAGAGGCTCCCACCAGGCCCCGCAGCGACTGGACTGCACGTGCTACGTGCACCCCGCGGAGCGAGAGGAGGAGGAGGAGGAGGAGGAGGAGGAGGAGGAGGGGGAGGAGGAGGAGGAGGAGGAGGAGGAGGAGGAGGAGGAGGAGGAGGAGGAGGAGGAGGAGGAGGAGGAGGAGGAGGAGGAGGAGGGAGGTGGAGGAGGAGGAGGAGGGGACCCGCTCTGGAGCAAAACAATTCTGCAGTCGACCCCCTCCTCGAACCCTGGGCCTGCCTGGCCGCAGGCCAGCCCGTGCCAGGGTCCACTGCAGCAGCACCGCCCCCGACGCCAGGAACGGAGCGCACGCAACAAAATCGGGTCGGGCGAAAGGGGGGGATAGCAAAAGGGGGGTTTGAGAATCAACTCACGTAGATGATTTTGCCGGCGCCTCCCGGCGCCGGAGGCGGCAATGCATCGAGGAATGGGCCCCTCGGTGGGGCTGAAACCAGCTGCATGCAGCAGATTTCGTAAACCCCCCTTTCCCAATCCCCTCCTTTCGTTCGTCCCGACAAAAAAGCAGGGCCCGCGAAGCACCATACAGCCCCCAACCCGTGGGGCCCCCAGGAGGCCCCCAAAGAGGCACCCAAGAGGGTCTCAAGAGGCCCCCGGGGGGCTCCCAAAGTCCCTCAAGAGGCCCCCAAACTGCCTCCAAGAGGCCCCCGAGAGCGCTCCGAAGAGACCCCAAGAAGCATCCCTGAGAACTCCGACCCGCAACCCATGTACGGTGGCGGGATGGGCCGAAGGCCATGAGATCCGCCGCCCCCTGCTTGCAGGGGTGCACGGCGTGCTGGATATTTCAAGTTTTGGTTTTGGTTGTTTTTCTAAAAGAACTCCCCAATGGGCTTCGGCCCGTCCCGCCGGCCACCCGTAAATTGCCGAAAATCCGTCTGTCAATGCCCAAAAACGGCCGTTTCGCTCGGGACATCCTCAAAAAATCGCGAAGATGGCCCAAGATGGCCTCCAAGTCCGCCCGAGATGGTCCAAGACGGCCTCCAAAACGGCCCAAGAGAGTCCAAGACGGCCCAAGACGGCCCAAGAGGCCCCCCAGAGGCCTCCCAGACGGCCCAAGAGGCCTCCAAGAGGTCCTCCAGGAGAGTCCGAAGAGGCCAAAATCATTGATTTTCCTTGGTTTTTGAAGGATTTTGGCATTTGCGCCTTTTCGGCTCTCCGACGGCTCAAGACGGCCCAAGAAGCCCCCAAGATCGCCCAAGAGGCCCCCAAGAGAGCCCCATGATGGCCCAAGTGGCCTCCAAGATGGCCCCTAGAGGGCCCCAAGAGGGCCCAAGAGGCCTCCAACACGCCCAAGATGGCCTCCCAGACGCCCAAGATGGCCTCCAAGACGGCCCTGGAGCATTCCAAGCGGGCCCCAAGTCGGCCCATAGAGGCCCCCCAAACGGCTTCCGACGGCTTCAGACGTGCCAGGAACCCACCAAGATGGCCGAAGTTGGCTCGAAGCTGGCCCGAGACGGCCCAAAAAGCCCCAAAGATCGCCCAAAGCTTGCCCAAGAGCCTCCAAGACGGCCAAGATGACCTTCAAGATGCCCACGTGTTCCCCGAAGGCTTTCCAAACCGATTCGGGGAACACGTGGTCCGATAGCTTGGCAGGTCTGGCCTCAACGTTCGGCCACATAGGCGCTTCCAAAAAGGCAGGGGGCGGCGGTGATTCGCCGTAGGCGTCTTCGATCCGCCGCCCCCTGCTTGCAGGGGTGCACGGCGTGCTGGACGTTTCAGGTTTTGGTTTTGGTTCTTTTTCTAAAAGAACTCCCCAGTGGGCTTCGGCCCGTCCCGCCGGCCACCCGCAAATTTCCCAAAATCCGTCTGTCAATGCCCAAAAACGGCCGTTTCGCTCGGGACATCCTCAAAAAATCGCGAAGATGGCCCAAGATGGCCTCCAAGTCCGCCCGAGATGGTCCAAGACGGCCTCCAAAACGGCCC